CTCCTTACCTGTAGTCTGTATCCAATGACTGCAGGGTGGAGGTAATGAAGGCCTGGCCCCCTTGCAGCAAGGCAAGAGAGCTTAGAATGGTTATGGACCCAGCTCCAGGCTCCTCATGGGATCCACCCTCCACCAGTTGAAACTTTTCTTGCAACTGCATTGGAGCTCAACTTCTACCCAGTTCTACATTAAACTTCCTGTGTTAATCTCTGCTCAGAGTCTGTTTGGATCTAAGACCTCACTGAAAACAGATTCTACATTAGAGACAATAATTCCAGGTCCCACCTAGCACAAGAATATCAGTGTCTAAATAAACTTCAAAGGGTTCTTCTGATGCAATACAAAAGAAAGTGTATTAGATCATTTAATTATTTTTGGCTCTACTGGAGTTTGATTTCAGGGCCTCATGCTTTCTAGGCAGGCATTCTACCTGTTGAGACACTCCCATTGTTCAGGTTTTAGAAGCATTTAATGGGCTGGAGATAACTGAATGGCTCCATGAATATCCTAGAGCAGCAAGAGGCATCATACTACTTAAAATTACATTCAGATCTGACTGTGTCACTTATTTGCTCTGTGATTGGGGTAAGTTATTCAACTTCTCTGTACATTTTTTCCACATCTGTGAAATGGGGTAAAAATAGGCTCTAACTATTGAGGTTGTGGTGAGAATTAGATGAGTAAATATACTAAGCTCTTAGAACAATGTTTGGCACACTGTAAATCCTCCAGTAAATGTTAACTACTATTTATTATTTTTTTGAATGTTGATAACAACAATTAAAGAAATGTTTCAAAAAGAAATAATGAAAAAAACAAAGAAATGGTACAAATACTATTATTTAATACAATGTTTTTTTCTGAATCTTGGTATCAATAAAAAGCCAGGTGCTGGTGGTTCATGGCTATAATATTAGCTGCTCAGGAGGCAGAGATCAGGAGGATAGCAGTTGGAAGCCAGGCTGGGCAAAATAGTTCATGAGACCCTACGTCAATAAAACCCATCACAAAAAAGGGTTGGTAAAGTGGCTCAAGATGTAGGTCCTGAGTTCAAACACCAGCACTGCTAAAAAACAAAAAAAATGGACATGCTTCTAAAAGACTATGATAAGACACATCCAAACAATTTCTTGGCTTTGGGTTACCTAGCTCACGCTTGTAATCCTAGCTACTCAGAAGGCAGAGATCAGGAGGACTGGGATTTGAAGTCAGTGGAGGCAAATAGTTTGTGAAACCCTATCTCGAAAAACCCATCACACTTGCTGGAGTGGCTCAAGGTGTAGGCCCTGAGTTCAAATCTCAGTACTGAAAAAAAAAGTAAAAAATAATCTAATATTCCTTCTAGAAATTATGAAATCTTAAGTCTGAATCAATTAAATACTTACCAAACAATAACTCTATCCGTGAAACTATACAATGAAATGATATGATTATGAACCTATGTTAACAAAAGTGCTACTGGTACATACTTAGCATATTTATAGTGCACTTAGTTCAAGGATCTTTAGAGAACTCTAAAAAGTGTTTTACTTGAGTCTTCTTTATTTATTGGTGGTACTGGGGTTTGAATTCCAGAACTCATGCTTGCTAGGCAGCTGAAAAGTGTTTTAGTAAGAAGTGAATGGATACACAATTAGCAGAAACAGACAATTCTAATTTTGTTGCCCTAACAAGTAGGTAATAGTTGGTATTAGTGAAACTTCTCTATAAAACAACCACCCAAATCTTCAATGTTGATGTCAGTATAAATTGTCATTCCAACTTAGAACTTTAGGATGGCGGAAGGAAAGAATCAGTAGGAATATATTCAGGACAGTGTCTCAGGATATTCATAATCATAACTTTCTCCAATTGCCATTGTACTTACAAAGGTTCATTTTACCTGGATAATCACTGATGTCTGACAAAATCCTTGAAGAGCTAATTTAAATCCCATCTTTTCTATGAACCTTTCTTTGAGTACACTATTTCATACTAATCTTTCATGTTGCTAAAATTTTATTAGATAAACTCAACACTTAACTGCACACTTTCTTGAATGTTCTAAATGTCTTTATATGCAAGTCTTGTTCCAATCATTAGATCTTAGATGGCTAGAGCAGTAGTGCTGAAACCTGTTGCATCAGAATCACCTAGATGGCTTGCTGGAAGGCAAGCTGATAGGCCACAATTTCAGATGCAGTAGGTTTGAGGAGGAATCTCATAAGTCCCAAGGTGATACTGATACAGTCAATCAGGGGACCACACTTTGAGAAACATTGAACTATAGCAAAGTACAGTGACTTGTACTTTTGTATAATGACATCAGACAAAGTGTATTTACTTCTCTCTCTTTTGCCCATGGCCATCTCTACTGCCACTACTCTCATCTAAATCTTCACCCATTTTTTCTTCTTTCTTGGAATAGCCTCTGCTTACTTTCTAGTTAATTTTTGCTCATATTTCAGTTCCCAATTTAGAAGTTACCTATCAGAATCTTTTCCTGATCTCTTAATTATAAGTAATGGCTTCTAGATCTGTGACCCTAAATGGCTTCATATATGCTCCCATTATAACACTTAATGTTCTTTAAATTGGAATTCTGATATGCATGTGTACTTTCCTGACTATACTATGATCTCTTCAGAGCCAGAAAGCACACTTTATTTTCTATATATATCCTATATAGTGGCAGTGCAAAATAGAGTGTGTGACACAATAAATGTTGATATCAATGCCTGCTAGGCTGGGAATTGAACTGGAGTGAAGTATATTACCTTGTACTCCAGTTCTATAACCAACAGCTCTAAACGGCTACCATAGTTAAGGAAAAAACACAAGTCCATCTAATGGTAGGTACTGAATCCTGACAGATCTCTTGGGAATTGATAATAGAAAGACTTAACATGAGGAATATGGAAAAAAACTGCAAATAAACATAAAAAGAGTATTATCCTAAAAAAGAGGTAAAGAACCATGTAGCTGAAAATAATATACAGGATGAACAAGAACCAATTTTAACAGTTTGCATGTCCTCTTAAATATGCAATAGACATGATTTAAAAATTAAGGAATTAATAATTGTCTGGAATCTGCCTGGTAAATTATATTTACAAAGTTAAGCAATGAGTAAGGATAAAATTAAGTCAAAGTCTTTACCTTACATAAGAATGATGAAAATATTGATTTATTTTTGAGTGCAAAAATAAGAAATGTAGTTTAGGAAGTGATTAAAAACTAATTGTATTTTTAGAAGAACTAATAAAAAGATATCTACATGCTAAATCACTAAAGAGGTGGGCACAAAATTATTCATGTAGCCAAGTAAGAATAAAACTAAATGACAAGCTTGAAAACAATAGTATAAAACAATGGAAAGACTAAAAGTCCAAGATAGAGGTAAAAGTTATAAATTAAACTTATGCTTTTGGACAGGAAGTTGGCAGATCTGGGATCCTATGCCTACTGTCTCTGGCATTGCAATGTAGGCTTTTTCTGCTAAGTCCTGAATCCACAAATTCAACCAACCATGGATCAAAATTTTTTTCAAAAATATGTGGGGACCGAACACATATAGACTTTTTATAGACTATTTACATGGTATTTACATTATATTACATATTCTAAATAATCTAAAGGTGATTTAAAGTATAAAGAAAAATGTGTATATATTATACCCAAGGCTATGCCGTTCTATACAAAGGACTTGTGCATCTTCAGATTTTGGTATCTGCAAGGAGTCCTAGGCCAATCCCTTTCAGATACTGAAGGATTACTGCTAATGAAATTATGTTCTTTCAGAATGTAATGTAAATATCGTTTTAGATATTTAAGTTCATAAATATGTATTTAAATAATCTGCTAGGTAAACAGTATAACATACTTGTTTTTATCTTTGAGGGAGTAGATAGGTTTCTTCAAGATCTACGTATATACAACACATATCATGGACTATATTTATATGAATATAGGAATATGTATATGAATATATTTATATATGAACATATTAAGGGATTAAAATGAAATCCTTTTTGTTGACAAATCATGCTCTTAGTCATCCATATTTAATATACAATGGCCAGATGCATACTTATGTATGATAGATTTATTTTATTTTATTCACATGTGCATACCTTATTTGGATCATTTCTCCCCCCTGCCCTCCTCCCCCTAGATTTTTTTAAAAGTACTATCATGTTGTTTCATTTTAAAGCAGTGATTCAGAGTATAACACTGCTTCAAGTTTATACTTGTGAGCATTCATTCATAATAAAACAATATTCATAGGTAAATATATACATTTATGTAGTTATTTAAATTCACCTTATAACAAAATATTTTGTAGAATGTGATTTACACAGGTGAACCCTTTGCAATTCAGCGTGAATAAGGACTTTTGGAGCTCAACTTAAGGAAAAAAAATGAGGTACTTAAATCTCATAGACATATATCTACTCACTGACAACCACTGATTTAGCAGAAAAACAAAGCCACTACCTCCTTTTAATTTACAAGCACAGTAACTGTTGAGGTTGATGGCAGTTACCATTAGAAAATGCAATCTGATTTTTTTTATTTTTATTTGAAGATTTTAAGAAAAAAGATAAGTAACCCAATCATGCCATAATCCAGGTGACATCTGTACTAGGCAGAATCGTGTTGTCATTCCCCAGTCTAGCTGCTATTGCTCAGCATGACAAAGTAGTGAAATTACATTTTCCCATTATTATTTCCAGACACTCTCTGACAATGGTTTGTTGACTCTAATAAACTTTCAGACAAAGCTGTCAGCAAAGGATATGGCAGAAGAAGAGCAAGGAAAAGCCTCTTCAACAATGAATGCATATAAAACCTTGTTAATCAGCTTGTACAATTTCTGATAAAAGCTAATGTGAGTGCTTTAATATTTACTCTAGTGCTGCATTTGAATTCCAAAGACAAAAATGTATCACATCAAGTCATATTACAAATGATTTTAATGAACATAAACATAGTATGAGCTTAAAAATGAGATATCTCACCTGCTATCGTATTGAGAAACATCAAGTACTCGAAGTTTGAAATCTCCCTTCTCTGCCAGCGCTGAGTCATGTTAGAAGATTTATAAAGCTGTCGAGGAGTGGCCAATGAAATCCTCCTAATAAGTAAGCATACCATAACAGTCTCTTGATTCACAGCTCTTAAAAATCTAACATTAACTAATGCAGTGCTTTGATAGCATTCGATTTGAAATAATTTATGGTTTGTCCATAGATGAATTATAAAATATATTTTAATCATAGAAATTAGCATTATTTGAGAAATCTATTACAGAGAAGATAATTACTCAGGATAGACAAATTTGAAAGCAACTCTATTTGTAAAAATGTAGCTACAAATGTATACAACAACAAAAAAGGTAAAACTGTACTTGAAATAAATCAAGGTAGTTTTAAAACAATACAGATCTACTCCATGGTAAGACCTGCGTGTAAGCTCTTGATTTAAATCATACATAGCAATGGTGGCTGTCACTGAACTTTTTACACCAGCCTGTATACACAGTATGCACACTGTGTATAGCTTTTACCCATACAATGATGTCAAAAACAAACTGAGAACTATGAAAAACTATAGATCCAGAAGAAAGAACTTCAATAATAAATTTAGAGAATAAATTAAGATAATTTGTGGAAATTATAATACTTTCCAGGTTCAATGTATTTATGTAACAATAAATGCTGGTTATATTTAGAAAAATAGGATAAAGATATTGTTTCTTTTTTTGTGATACTGGGGCTTGAATTCAGGACCTCATGCTTATAGGTAGGTGCTCTACCACTTGAGCCACTCTTGCCAGCAAGTTTCTTCAGTATGTTATGATACAGCCAGTTGTCTCAAGAGGATGAGCAGATGAGGCCACCTGATCTTGGACTTTCAAGAGGTGAATTACATAAACCTCTTTTCTTTAGACCCAATGTCAGGTATTCTGTGTAGCAATACAAAATGGGCTAAGAAAACATCTTATGAACTTAGTAGCTATTTGAAAGTAAAATACCCGTAAACTAGAAGAGAAATAATGTTTGTATTTCACTCTTAATTTGCTAAAATTACTAAAGAGATGTTTGTACCTGTTGGGCACTGTTTCTCAAACTGTGAAATCAAATCTGACATGACCACCTTCATTTTTTCTATTCCATCCTAACCTTTCATATAGCTCTTGTTTTTGAACACTACAACCACCAAACACCAGTTTCACAAAGGTGTCATTGAAAAGAATGAGTGTTATCTAATGTTGAAACTTACAAATTAAAAAATATTAAGTATCATAACATAAGGTGATCGTTTAATGTCATCAATTCTATAAATATTATCAGAGTGTATCCTTGGTAAATGAAGAATCTAATCAGATACAAAATAAATTGATTTCATTGCCTGAACAGAAAACACATTAACCAAAGAATAGCAAATCAGTTTGAAGTCTAGAATATGGGGAGTGTTTGCTAGTATTTTTTTGTCATTGTCGAAGGTAATGCTTTTAGGACCAATGTGAGTCGCCTGAATAGACAATACAGAATAGAAATTAAGAAAGTGGGGAGAGGTGGAGAGGTGGCCCAAACAATGTATACACATGTGAGTAAATGTAAAAATGATACAATAAAAAAAGAAAGTGGAGAAATAAGTAACTCACCTAAACATACATTTTCCTATCTATAAAATAAGATAAAACTTCCATTGCTTTAAGAATGTTGTTTTAATAACTATGGAAATAATATTTATAAACTAAAATACAAAGTATAGTCCCTAGGACATGGGAAGTACTCAATAAAAAACAGCTACAAATATGAATTAATTACAGGGGCATTCATTAGACTATGTTAGCTTTCTTCTAAACTTTTGCTTACAAAGCAACAATATGATTTGTAATGTGACTTTCTTTTTGGATTTGTCCAAAAATTGGCCTAAGTAACTTTGAAGTCAATAGTTCTGGTAGTAATACCTGCCTTGGAACTTGATAATTTGTTGTTTAAAATTATCTTAGGGCTTTAGCATTAAGTTCTCTAGAATTGGGTTAATTCTGCTTAACTGGCACAATGTAGTGTCAAGAAAGCAAAGCAAAGAATGGATCTCCACACTTTCTTGGTAACTCTACTAAGATGCTGGAGGGTTTCTTGTAGGAGCCAGGCATCATCCCAACTCTGACAATTCTCTAAATATAATAAGATCTTATATGTCACACACACACACACAGACGTTTATGGGTGTGGAAATGAGGGTGTGTATTTGTCTATATACCCAATTTTATCTGTGCATTTGTGTGTATATGCACATATACATGTGTAAATTTTATGCATATCTATAGTTTATAAAATGCCTTTACTTTATTCTCTGAAAAGATTCTTAAACATCCCTGCAATGGTATTGTTCCCATTTTATGGTAGATGAGAGTATGACTCCTCTTGTCAACCATTATCCATTCTTTTAACTAGTATTTAAGGAGTTCCTATTAAATACTAGGCTTTCTTATTGTTACCAGCAGATAACAGGCCCACATTCAGTGTCATCTCCACCCTCACCCCCAACTCCATCCTCTTTTCTGCTATTTGTAAGACTACACTTCTCAGGATGTATACAAAATTGAGCCTGCAAGAAAATTATTAGGAAACTAAGAATGAGTTGTGCCTTATGGAGAAAACAAGTGAAGGACAACAAATGACTTTATAAAGTAACAAAGAAAGCAAAAATACTGAGTGCTTTCTATTCAGAAAAACAATCTTCTGAATGTCAAAGAGAGACCAAATGTGGTTAAAAGAGAATTGATACTCACAATAGGTAAGGATGACAGTAAAAGAGCTACTGGGTGTTTTAAATGAACTCAGGTTCAGACAAGTTTAAGAACACTGAAGGAAATTACACATGCCACCTAGAAATCCTTTAGTAATCTTACAGGAATCATGGTCATTGGGTAAGATGCCAGAAGGCCGGAGATTAATTTTATAAACGAAAAAGTTAGACCTATTTGTGAGTTCTTAATGTTCATTCCTGGAAAAATTCTTGAATTGATGATTAAACCAATAGTTTGTAAGCACTTGGGAAAGGAAGTAGTGATTACTGTAAGTCAGCTTAGATTCAATAAGAACAAGTCTTGCAAAACTAACCTTATTGTCTTTGATAGATTGAATGAACTTTTTCTTTGACCTGCATTTTATATAAGTGCTTCATTATGTACTGATGTCTTAGTTTAATCTTGTCATTCTCCTAACAAATATCCTGAGCTTGTGTATACATGTCAGTGAATTGTTCTTGCACTGGAAGCTTAAAGAGAATAGATAAGATGTAATGCAAGGGAACCCCAGTTGAATAGCACTTAAAAAGCACTTCTGCAATTAGGCGCTGTGCTAGGTGTTGTAGATTAAAAGGTAAATAACACACTCCCTGTCTTTAAAACATCTGTAACCTATTTAAGGGAAGACAAAGATTAGCTTTCCTTTCCAAGCAGATAGAGGCTGCAGTAATTCTCAGGGATATATGTCTGTGTGGTTGCTTGTCTACCCAAAGCTGATCTTACTTTTTCCTCATCAGCAATCCCTCTTCTGTTCAGGTACGAAGTGTCAAGGAGTCAGATGTATGTTTTCCATAAATTCAAGGCAATCATTGAACCGAGCTGGCAAATTCACTCCCTATTGTTATGGGGTAAAAGGTGACCCCATTTTGGCCAGAGGGACTTGAGAAAAAGATTGCTGGAGGCTTCTGAGAAATATATTTCTTCCTCAGAGATATTCTCTTTGCCTTTTTCCTATTTTTTTTTTTTTGACTGTACTGGAGTTTGAACTCAGGGTTTCTTGCTAGGTAGGTGTTAGGTAGGCACTTTACCACTTGAGCCACTCTGCCAGCCCCCTTTTATCTACTTTAACGTAATTGTGTGAAGATGTGGTCTCTGGAATAATATTGGTGATTTTGTGAATGTGAGACAAAGTAAGAATCTTAAGATCACTGGATCTTGGACCTAATACTGGCAATGTCTAAACTCTATATTGTCTAAATTAAAACACACACACACACACACACACACACACACAGAGTGAGAGAGAGACTATAAAACCCTTACTTTTTGTCAAGTATTCCGTTTCTTGTATCCCAACATAGACTAATTGATATTAGCAATGGACATAATTACTGACTGTGTTTTCTGCTTCAGTTATTATCTTTTAATAAAATAAAGTTTCAAAATGACTCTTCTAAAATACCAAGATTAAAAATTTAAGTAATGGTTAAAACTACACCATAATTAATGACTTTGAATCTCAGTAAACTCTGAGAGTTTTATTACTTTAATGAAGAAGCACTATAAACCTAAAATTTATATACCATTACATAGTGATTAATCACAAGCACCTTAAAGGACTTTTGGTATATTTCCTATATGATTTTAACCAGAAAAATGTCCTTCATTATATGTTAGTCATGACAGACAATCAACTGTTTCACTTAATTATTCAGATATGTGTTAAGTAAAATTCTGCCCTAATCATTCTGTTATTTTCAAAATAGCAGTTTTCATGTCCTTTTTCCCTATAAATAAGCCACAGAGAAAGAATTTCTTGGTCCCTGAAATAATTATAATGATACAACCATATTTACATTTCTGTCATTTTGCGAACTGAAATATGTGAACAAATCATAGACAATGTATAAATACGATACAATTACCTGGCTTGTGGTAAACCATAGCTGGTCCCAACTCCAACCCGAGGCAAGCTATAGACAACTTTTTTTACCGTTGCTTGATCAGGGAAATTAAACATAACTGAGGCTGTGGTAAGAAGAAAAGAATATGATTTAGACAGCCATGAGAAAGGTAATTGTCAGTTTAAGAAATAATTTTCATGATTTATTTGTAAAGGTAATGAATATTCATGGAAAATGGGCCTTCTCTTTAACTTTGTCCCTGTGAAACAAGGGTTAATATCTTAAGCATATTCTTTTTCCTTCAAAAAAGAATTTTTGTTTGTTTTAGTGAGAGCATACCAAAAGGAGAAACACAGTGGCAATAATCCAGACAGTATTATACCAGGTAAATGAATAACATGCAAATATAAGCACATTTTTCTTTTAGGTTATTTAAGAGGACTTACTTCGGTTTGCCATAAATACTTCCAGAGCAGTGTTTTGTAGAAGATAACGTCTTGAAAATACAGCTCGGATCTCACTGAACATCCATTTTCCATGAAGTCCCTCAGTGTATGCAAGTACCTAAAATAAACAATTTATAGGTAATTGGAAATTGATAAAATTGTGGTTTAGACTTTGGGAGTATCTTCGACAGTGCTGTACTAAAATTAGTGCATTGGAGATTATTCTCCTGAATTCATGATACATCACAACATTGCCAGTCATTTGCAAAAATGATATTTGTAAAAATTTCTGCCTTTCTAAATTGTCTTAGTTGGCTTATGAGGAAATTAAAGTGTAGAAAAACTATGTTCAATGTGATTTTGTAACTTAAGATAGAAAACATATTTTTGTGTCTGAGCATTGCATATATTAATTGGACCTGGTGACATACACTGTTGATTCTTCCCAGTATCCCTTCTCCTCTTTCTCCCTTGCTTATTGGATGCCCAGTTATCCCCAGAGGGTCCTTATGGTCATCCCAGGCAATAGATCATGGGTGGTCTAAATCAAAGGTCAGCAAACATGTGTTTTACAAAATATTTAGATATTTTTAGGCCATGGGGTCTCTGTTGCAACTATTGTGCTTTGGCCTTGTAGTCTGGGAGCAGTTATAGACAATATGTCAGTGAGCAGGTATGACTGCATTTTGGTAAAACTTTATACAAAAGTGACTTAATTTGGAACAAGGCCAGAATTTGGTGAACTCATGTTCTAAGTCAATCACAATGTTATTCCCAGTTTTCCCAAACTCCCTTGCAACTTTTGGGAAGGACATTTGTCAAGTCTGCAGCAAATACATTCTTTCTTGACACACCAGGGTATATTAACAATACATAAATGCTCTTTCTACTTGCATTGGCATATTCTGTTGCACTTGTATTTGCTTTAGTGGAAACAAAAATCAATGAGTTTTATTATACACTTGATTTCTTTGGCTTTGAAAACAAGTTTTAAGTTCCCTTTCACATTTCCTTTTGTTAGGAAAAAATATAAGATATATTATGTTTATAATCTTTTGGTCTTTTTATTTTTTGAAAATTCTGTTTTCTAAAACTTAATTCAGTTTATGTTTTTCCCTAGAAACTGGAAGGTTTTCAGAGGCAGTCCGACATCTATTTAAATCCTGAACCCTTGTGGAGTCAGACTCTTACTAATCTCAGCTCTGCATTTGCGAACAATTAAGACATTGGAAAAGCTACCTAACTCCACCAGATTTTTGTCCTCTGAAAAACAGTGACAATAATAGCTATTACTAGTTAGTTTAAGCAGTGATAATTAATGCAAACATGGTCCTAGCTATTAAGTTCGTTATTAAGTATAACATATAAGTTAGTATGTTCTTGTTGAGCATCATGTGACAACTGTTTTTCAGTTTCTACATATAAAACTTGGGTCAGTTGTGGTTGCTCATACCTTTAACCCCAGCTACTTAGGGGGCAGAGATCAGGAGCATTGCAGGTTGAGGCTATCCCTGGCAAAAAGTTATCAAGATCCCTCTCAACAAATGTGTAATTAAAACTACCCAGGGGGCACAGGTACGAGGATCTCAGTCAGAGACTGGCCCTGGGCAAAAATGTGAGGCCCTACGTGAAAAATAAGTAAAGGGCTGGTGTGTGGCTCAAGTGGTAGAGTGCTTACTACCAAATACAAGGCCCTGAATTCAAACCCCAGTAACACCCCTCCAAAAAAAGCTCAACTTCTTTTTATGCATTTCACAAAAGGTTTATAGTGACTTGTCACAATTCATATTTATAAATTCTTAATTAGCCATAATGGATTCCAGATTTGAATTTCATAGACCAGTATAACTTTTTTTAAATGGAAGGAAAACTAATACATGATTGTCAACTTCTTTCATGTGTATGAAGAAACATTTTAAGTCAAAAACTATCTTCAACTATGACTGTTATTTCACTAAGAAAAAGAAATTTAGGTCATTTGAAAACCCAAACAAGCTGGGCTCTGGTGGCTCAAGCCTGAAATCCTAGCTACTCAGGAGGCAGAGATCAGGAATATCCTGGTTCCAAGCCAGTCCTATCTTGAAAAAAACCCATCACAATAAAGGGCTGGTGGAGTGGCTTGAGGTATAAGCCCTGAGTTTCAAGCCCCAGTACTGAAAACAAAACAAAACAAAAACCCCAAACTGTAAGATGATGAAAGAACAGCTCTTCCCATGAAAGCTGCATTGGGCCCTTACACCAAGACTGGTAGCCAGGAAGGTATCTATGTGGATGTACCTCACGTGCATACACAGTCATCTTTTGACTCCTTTTGGGTTTTAGAAACCATGATGTAAAGAATATGTGCTCAAGCAGGTAGCTTAAGAAACAAAAGTTAGTTTGACTCTTTAAGTGTTCCATCTTAAGTTCTTATAAACCGTGCCAATTATGAGTTGATGGCCTCTCAGATCTACCTTAACTGTTAATGACATGCTTTGTAAAAATGAATCTGTGCCCTTTACATATTTTCCTCTGCTAGCTGGCATGATGATAAACTTTGTCAAGAAAGGGCACTGAGGAGACAGTGGAGTCCAGCAGCAGACTTCTGGTCTCCAGAGCCCAGCACCTGGGGAAGGCCATGCCAACAGCACTCATGGTGAGCAGTTTTCTCAGTACTTCGCTTGCGCTTGGGCAGTTCTGTAGCAGTCTCTCTGTTGAGACACCTCCCAGACGGTGGATTTCTGGAAAGTTCCAGGCAGACTCTAGGAAGCAACCACAGCAGGACCCCAGAGTAATTTTATCACTCCATGAGCTGCAGCCCATTCCCCAACAACTCGGGAGGACCTCATCCTTGGGTTCTAGAAGAGTTCTATAGATAGTGGCTGCTCCTTAATTGTGCTATTCCTGTATTCTTTACAGTTATCCCTATTTCTTACTAGCATTCCCTCGTAGCTCCAATCTCCTGTCATAATTTCTGTTACAATTATTTATATTATGCTTCTGTTGTATAAATTGCTATGTGGTTTCTCTCCACTGATTGGATCCATACTGATTCTGAAGCTTAGGAAGGTAGCATGGTGAGATTTTAGAAGGACCACTGGGGAAGGGTGTGGAGGATGAACGTGAAGGTTGTGAGACTATAGGCAGAGTGACCAGATGGGATCCTACTTCAGGCAAGTGATAAGGAGTCTAATCAGTTTGTATATATTTCAGAAATGTAAAGGAATATCATTTATAGTCGTAAATTCTGAGTTTATGGCGTGTTTCTATAAAAATCTGGGCATGAAGCCCAGGTCTGAAATACGAACTGATACTATAAAATTGTCTTGTGTTTTATTTATACCTTCACTGGTTATATAATGTCCTATAAGTTTTAGGACATTCTATAGTAACTCTTTAAGTTTGTTTTTCATTATAGTCTAAGACATTTTCCTAAGTCATTTAAATACTTTTACCTATAGTTGAGGTTTGTGGTTTTATGTTGTTAAGTCAACCTTCCTGTATCATCTGGTTTGTGCCTGCCTGCTTCTCCAAATTATTTAATATTCTATGAAATCTAATCGATGAACACAAACTACCCATTCAGTTTCATTTTCTGAAAACTGAATCAGCATGCTTTTTATTACATTATACAGGTCATAAACATGAACATTACAGCATTTGATCCCAAATCTTATGCAACTTTGTGATTTTCTTAAGTGACCACTGAACTGTTTGGCGGTAACTGCCTGGTATCCAAAAGAAGTAAAGGGAGAAAGAGTCCATGCTTGCTTCATGTCCTGAGGCAATGCACACAGGAAGCTATATAAAACACACGTACTAGGACCACCTTGTAAACTACCTACCCAAATGTGTGCTTAGCACATATTATCTGGTGATCATGTCGAAGAGAAATAGGGCTGCTGGGCATTCAAGTGTATCAGACATGTATAATGTTGTCAGAGACACGGACATAGCTGTCAAATCAACTTCCCCCCTTTCTCCTTTTAAGGCAGCTAATACTGTGCAACCTAAAAATTACTTGTTTAGTGATGGCTTCACTGACTTCATACCATCTAACGTATATATTAGAACAGTGTTAGAAATAATCTTTTCTTGGAATATGAAAATACCTAAATTTTGCATCAAGTTGTATTTCCTGCTAAAAACTGATGAAGATCTTGCAGAAGGCTGGACATGGTCTTTTTGGTGCTCACAAAGTTGTCATATTTAATTGGCACTTGCAGGTTCAGCAGCTTAATTAAGGGGCTTTTTTGCAATGTAAAGTTATGAATCCCCACTATAATTCCATATAAATTATCAATAGCTGAAGATCATAGTGAATATATTCAAGATGGAATAGTTCAAAAGCAGGTTTACAGTCACACATGCTCATCTATACTCTTTCCACATCTGCCAGCTGGATGAGGAGGATTCCAAACCCTGCAGGAAAGAGGAACCACAAGATAGAAGAAGCTTGAATGCTAAAATGGCCATTAAAAGACCATCTCTGACTGACCACTGCTGGTGTGGCACACAGCAGTGTTGTGCACAGCATGGCTGCACAACTCCCCTTTCCCACTTCCATGTCCTTCCTGGCAATACTATCTTCTCCCTCCCCCAAAGGCAAAGAAAAACAGGAGAGAGTAGGTCCTTTTTCCCACCTCCTTGTGCATGATTGCCATTCTCTTGCAAAGAGAGGCAAGAACCCCACTGGGGTCTAAGATCTACTGAGTGTGTCAGGAGCCTCAAAAAGAGACAATTTAAGCCTCAAACAAGTGTAGGAAGTGATAGAACAATAATGCCACCATTTTGTGAATGGCCAAAATGGCAGCCCTGCCCTTAAACAAATTCCTGTGCTCTAAGACAGCCCCACCCCTACCAGAGACTGCAGCACATGCGCTAACTTCCTTAACCTCCCCCTTCTATAAAAGCCACTGCTAGCCCAGATTCAGGGCTGCACCATCTTCCCCCCCACCCCATGGGCATGAGACTTTTCTCATGAGCTTTCTTTGTGAGCAGCGTTTTTCCTAACAGGAAGTAGATGTCCTATGATTGGATTCAGCAACACAACAACAATAAAACCCAAAACACACACCAAAAAGAGACAAAAACGGAATCTAATTGGGCTGTCACTTGAACGATAATCACAGATATTTA